TTTGAATACGGAGGAAATTTTTTTATTTGAACCATTCTTTTTTGTTTTGGGATTTAGTATTTTAGTTCAAATGTAATTCCAATAATCTAAAAAAATTTTTTTAGTAACTATTAGACTGTTTTTTTTTTTCTTTTTCATTTTTATATAATTGAAAAATACCAAAATATATTTTTACTTGTAATTAGAGCATGGGGAAACACTGGGGCTCGGCGTTTGGCTGACCACCCAACCAGAACATCTGCTCTTGCACCCCAAGGTCAAGAAAACTGATATGGGCATGGTAGGCATTGGCCCTCAATGGGATGTCGCGCCACTGAGTTAAGTTTAATTAGAGCGTCAGAAAAATAAACAAAGGGCATCGATGTCCCATCTACTTTAAAGGGTTAAAATAGCAATGGTGACATACCCATAAGCACCCCTTTCAAGAAAGCTTATCTGAAAAGCATTTAAAAATGCATTTTCCAACATTTAAGTTTATGAAAGCGTATAATTTGTGTGCTTTAAATAAGTTCCATCTAACAATTTCATATAAAGTTTTCTTATATCTCCGAAATGAAATATTTTATTTTTGGTGATTTACCATTGCAATGTTGATTTTAAGTGACATTATTTTTACAAAAAAAGAACTAGAGCGAAAACATTTCTTGAATTTTCTATAGAACTGATTTATGTGCACCTGCTATACAATTATGTGCGTGTTTCACTTGGCCGGCAAAGTTTAGGCATTTTGGCCGAAGGATAAGTGCCTGGTCACTCAGAAGGAGAAGATCTTAATTACGTACTTTCATACTGAAAATCAATTTTAGGTAGGAAAGTAAACATAACCAAGATTAAAAGTAACATTAAGAAAAATTCATTCGCTGTTCAAGCTGTAGAAAGTTTCAGTGATAATTTGTTCCTTGATGATGTCATATATCCTAAAATATTTAACAAGTGTTCTCAGCGATACGCCATTCTGACGCAATTTATCAATGTAATTTTTTAGCGACTGGTCTAAAAAAAAACTTGTTTTTCGATATTTTGATTGCTGATATTTAGAAAAGTTTGGTGAAATTGAGTTATTTGGAAAAAGTAGTACTAAAATATGGATGAAACTGTCCAATAAATAAATTAATTAAATTATTCATTTTTCAAAGAATTAATATTTATTTATTAATTAATAATTACTAAGCCATAGTGTAGATAACATAACTTTTTAAATATTTTTCTTGCATTTTGAATACCTAACTATAGCAAATAACATTAATTTTATTAAAAGTGTATAAAAAAGTTAATTCTCGGAATAAGATCAAATATTAAAGAACAAATAATAACAATAAATAAATACTAGTAATAATAAATAATAATTATAGTAAATCATAAATAATAATAATAAATAACAATAATAAATAATAATAATAAATCATAAATAAAAATAATGAAAAATAATAATAATAACAATAATAAATAATAGTAATAAATCATGAATAAAAATAATTAAAAATATTAATAATAAATCATAAATAATAATAATAATACACCATCTAATTTGAGTGGCGTATTTTTGTTGCCATGCCGCATATCTAAGGCGGATTGGACTAAGGAACAACCCACACGACTAAGGAACTCGACAACCCAGAACCATTCCTACACCATAATTTCATGACCAGTGGAGTGCAATGTGGTCAGTATTGCATACCGACTGTCTTTATTTCACAGACTGGCTGAGTTCTTATCGATCTGAATCTGTGTTTGCTTGAAGCCGCTGCTGGGTATCAAGCCACAGTCCTTCACAGAGATAGCTCAATGCCTTAATCCAGCCGTTCTTAAATGGTGTTCCGCAGAAACCTAGGGTTACGTAGAAGGATCACTGTGGTTCCAGGAACTGGGAAATTTTTTTTAGCCAGTAATAATTATATTTAGATCCAATCAATGGTCCATAACATGTTTAAGATTTCGATTGTTTAAATGAAATTATTTATGTAAAATGTCAATAAAAAAAAAGAGGTGGCAAAATTTAAATTTTGTTTTCCTATAACAATTAATTGAATAAATTATGAAAAAAATATGCATTTATTAAAAATTCCATAATTATTGCTTATCGAACTTTTTGATTTCAAATATAATGATCAAATTCAAGAATTTAAAATTATGCTTCTTTGTTGACTATTCTCGACATTTATTACAGTTAAAATCATAATTTAGCTTACTTTATTCATTTTCAGCATATGCAATATGCATAAACCAATTTAGATTTTAAAGTATCTCAATGTCTCATTTTTCGCATTAAATACTTATAACTCTTCTTTTAGTATTTTCACAGCTGCAAATGAACTTTTTTTTATACGGAGGATTCCGTGAAAAGAAGCTCGATTAATTAGGGTTCCAAAGCGAAATAGAATCGCTGCCTTAATTCTCGGGGAGTCCTAATTTTGAGAGGAACTCGGTTCTAAAAGTTTCACGTTTTTTTAAAAAAATTATTACATTTGTTAAATATCTGCAAAATTATTATTATTATTATCATTATTACAGTATACTCTCGATATCTCAAAGGTGAAGGGACACTAAAAAAATTTCGTGATACCGAGAACAACATAACAAGTGTTCAGAATTAAATATGTTCTAAAAAGTGAAAAAAATATATTCTAAAATATTACTCTAAAAAGTAGAGTCATGAAACATAAGAATAGTTTTGATTAAATATGTATGTAAATGATAAAGTCTAAATGATAATTTAGGCTTATAGATAATTTAGGCTATATAGATATTTATCATTTAGGCTTATAGGCTAAATGATAATTTAGCCTATAAGCCTAAATGATAATTTTGATACAACAATGATAATTTTATTTTTAAAAGTAGGACAAAAATAATTATGCATTTATTAGAAAATAATTGGTTTACAATAAACTTACATTGCGATTTTTTGGAAAAAAATTCAAATTCCATTTCGAAAAAATTCGACATGACAAGGTTTTGAGAAGAAACTTTTCGACACAGGAATTTAAATTAGCATTAGGTGAATATATAATGCTTTTTTATTTGTTTGAAACTTTTAGGACGGGGTATTTCAAAATTTCTAAAGCTCGTTACGTTTTAACTTCTCTAAAATTATATATATGATTACCTTAAAAATTGAGAGATAAATTTTCATTGTTGCTATTATATTATATGAAACAAGAAAAGTTTAATTATATAATAACGATTTGCTTACTCTGTTTTCATTTTTACTGCCTTTTGCGCTAAAATGACTTCAAAAATGCAAACAAATAAAAAATTAATGGAAGAATGAAAAAAAAGAAAGACAACATAATGAAATAAAAATTTAGAACAAGAATATTTTCGTATAATTTTATGAATGCATCATGCAATAAATTAACCATTAAACGAAAGTTCGCCTGCAATATTTGCTAACTTTTTTAAGCTTTTCTTTCTCCACAACTGAAGTCGATGATTTAGAATAATTAAGAACTTGCTAGTTGCGAAAAAAGTGATAAGTGGAGGTTATAAGTTAGCATATTAAAAAAAATAAATAAATAAGAAAAAAGTTAAATAAATAAATAAATAGGTTCTGTAAATTGTGTTAATAACTTAGTTCTCTTTTCTAAAGCGAATATTTTAAAAATTTAAAATGAGTATTATAAATAGACTTACTAGTTGGTACTAAGTTTTATAAGCCATGCCACCCGTGTACCCATAGGTGTCACTGGCCCCAATGCAAATGTTCCTTTTGTTCCCGATCCTTCTGATTTTGTCCCTGAACATACATTCCAGAATATTTAACCAGATCTGAATGGTCTAATGACAAATTATCTTTTGATACTGGATAGCAAATACAGTATAGTAAAATTTTTTTTGATCAAAATCTACTTAAACCTATTTTTATTAGATATGTATGGAAAGGAGAGGGCATTAATTTTTCTTAGGCATATTTCCCGTAACTAGGAAAAATTTTAAAGCTAATCGATCTAGCTAAATTAAAATTTAACTATCAACACAATTTAAAAATACTGTTGATCTTGAAAAACTTCCAAATTTAAAGTCAATTCATTCCATTTCCACGATGCAAAGAATTAATATACTAGATTATTAGAATAATTAATAAATAGTTTATTTTAAAGTACTGAATTTATGACAGTCATTTTTTTAAAACAAATTGTATAATCCTTCAATAATATTATACTTTAATTTTAAATACAAATTTTAATTTTCTCAAAATATTTAATTTCTTCTAAACTTAATGGACACCCTGCATCTGCAACGGTTACATTTTCATAACATGTAAAAAATACAGCTCAAAATTATAACTGTTTATGAGAGATATTATATGTAACTTTAATGCATTACTACTTTTTGCAGTCGACAATTTATCGTAAAAAATTAGTTATGTACCTTTTCTAGTTTATAGGATATTTTATTTATTTATGAATTTTTTTTAAAATTTGCATCTTTTTTGGATTGATGAGGATTTATTTAATATTTGCATAGTCAAGCGATAAGAATAATATCATAGAATTTTGAAACATTGAAATTATACAACAACATTCACTTGTGATACATTAAAATAACAAGTTTTAAATCCCAGACTGAAACATAATTTAAAATAAAACTAATGGTAAAAATAAATTTCAACTAATGTTTTTAAAATGAATAATTTTAAAATTACTTCTAGAAAATTTTTAATAAAATTTAATCATTTATTTTTCAATTTTATATTTATCTTTAAAAATATTAATTTAACTTCACAATATCTTTTTTTTATATTTCTCGAAAAGAAAGAAAAACAATTCAAAACGCCATGATGTTGTCTTTCTTTATGTATAAAATCATTTTTCAATACAAATTTCTGAAATTTTATATTCTAAATATCCATTCAAGAAAATCGAAATTGTTTTTAAGGAACACGATTATCAAATTAAAGGAAGAGATGTCGCCAAATATTGTAGCTAGAACCAAGAAGTCTCTCCTCCGAACTGAGCCTATCAGAAAAATTCTTTTAATAACATCATTCAGAATTCTTTCTCGTTCCTCGTGATTGGTGGAGAAAGTACCCGTGTGACTAGATGGGAAACCCCGTATGAACTCATCTCCGCTCAGTAAACTCAAATTTCTAAGCATTTCATAAAAGTACGCCGAGTTGTAAATACGCACGGAACACTCGGTGCAAACATACCAGACTTATATATTTTTTGTGAGTACTATTTTGATATTATTGTTTATTTTTGTTTGGTTGTTTTGTTTATTTAAATTTTTTTTGTAAATTAGGTATTTGAACGTTGATTTGATATCTTGTATCGTTAATCGAATTTGTTTTGACAGATGACATCGAAATGTTATTGTTTATATATGACATTTGTGCTAAATATATTATTTTTATTGTAGGTTTTTCACTAGTCATTGTTTCATAATCATCTGTGCTACAATGTCTCAGCAGTTCTGTTTAAAATGGAACAACCACACGACGAACATGCTTCAAGTGTTCGAAAGTTTATTATCTACAGAAGCCCTCGTGGACGTCACACTAGCCTGTGATGGGCTGAGCCTCAAAGCACATAAAATGGTGCTCTCCGCTTGCAGCCCCTTCTTCCAGAGTCTATTTTTAGAGAATCCCTGCAAGCACCCCATTGTGATAATGAAAGACATGAGGTATTGTGACCTCAAAGCCATAATCGACTTCATGTACCGGGGGGAAGTAAATGTTTCACACGATCAACTCTCGGCACTACTCAAAACAGCCGAAACACTAAAAGTTAAAGGTTTAGCGGAAGTCACAGGAGAAAATAGGCATGCTTCGGGCATTGTGCAACAAGAAATCACACAACAGCAACAACAGTCAACGGTGTCGACGCCTACACCAACACCCCTCACCCCCACTGCTCAAAGGACAGACACGCCGCCCTTACAGGGTAAAAGAAAACGGGGGCGACCCCGGAAACGGTCCCTTAGTGACTCAAATCGTAGCGACGATGAGGGTGTTGCTGCAAAAATCAAAGAAAGAGACTCTCCCGATGTTGAAGAACTTTCGGGTGACGCATCAATGGATGCCACAAGTGATATTCGTTCGGGTGGCGGTCCAGGTTCATCTAATTCACAATCTCAGGTGCATTCATCGAACAATGTAAATAGTTTCTCTAAATCTCATCTGTCCATCTCACAAGATCCTCAGGTCGACGAAACATCTGGTGACGAGAACGAATTCGAAGTAGAGCCTTCGAAGCTGTTAGAACAAACATTAACTACAGACAATGTAAGTTTTTTTTTCTTCTGCTTATTAGCTGCTTTAATAGCAATATAAATTGTTAAAATTCGTGAATAGGGATGTCTTAAAATTCTCTTGCTTAATGCAAAGATTGCTAAATGTTATAACTCAAACAGTATGTAATGCATGTTACAGTAAGATTTTTAGTTTATAAAGTGCAGATTCTGAAATTATTGCTTTATAATTACATGTTATTAATGTATAGTATTGAGTTTTTTTTTGTATTTTAAAAGTGGTTTATTACTAGTAGTATTGTGTTTAACAATTGTTGAGTGAAGTAGATATTTAAAAATTATGTGCACAATTTGTTGTAAAAGCATTAATAGCGCTTGTATTTCTATCACTCTTTATAATGCAATCGAAATTGCTGGTTTGTGAAGTTCATTTATTATTTTGTTTTGATCAGGTATCTTATTCCCACGGTTAGAATAACGGTGTGAATTTTTGCACCATTTGGTATGATCCCTGCATCAAATTTGTAGAAACTTAATAGTAAAAGATGTGAATTTTATTTCAGAACTGCATTATACACGAGCTATAAGGCTTTTTTTTCTTATTTAATATAGCTAGTTAGATCGTTAGCTGTATAAACCTGTTCTAAATAAGTGTAATAAATAGATGAACTTGAGTGCATTAGTGTTTGTCCATATACAATTATTGAAATTTATTAATATTTAAGATATATTTTCAACATAATATAACAAATGTGTTTTCTACTTAGAAGTCACTAACTACAATTTAAGTTTGATAATGTTCAGTTTCTGAAGTATTTCTTACAAATTTAATTCTAATTATTCACCTTAATCTCTACATTGTTTCTATATCAGTTTTTTCACTTTCAGGTTCCTTCCAGTAGTCAAAATAGTACAGGACACATACAACTTCCATCTGTAAGTGGCTTAGAAATATCCAGGCGGTCTATGAGTAGCACAGATAGTCTCAGCCAAGCATTAGTTCCTGCATCAGATTCATTAGGTTCAAATTTACAAGCACCTGATAGCCCACAAGGTAAATTGTATTTTGAATATATATTATTGTCTTATGGCAGGAAGTGTTAGTGCTTTAATAGAGCAGATGAATTTGTTAGGCCTAAACTTAATGTTCAGTATTCTTATTGCATCTGCTTTATTAAATTGCCCTGACACTTGTTTTTTGGTCGACAGATACCCCTGCCATTGGACATGACAGTTGCAATCTCAACTTGATGTCTGAGGAGATCAAGAAAGAAACATACTTAACTGATACCGATCTAAACAGGATCTTTCATCGCAGTCAAAACAGTCGACAATTTGCTGTAAATTTGGCCAGAAAATTGTTCTCACCTGTAGAAATGAGGAATTCTAATTGTAGAGGAGTAAGAAACTATTTGCCCCTAGATGAGCAAAAGCTTAATTTCATTCGAAGAACAGTAGAATATTTTTACTTTGTTGATTCTAGTGTTCAGCTAGATTCGTGGAAACTATGTATGCAGAGCATTGATTCCCACTGCCGACACGAGCGACGTCTTTTAAGAAAAACTAACTTAAGAGAGCTAGGTTTTTAATTATGTTTAAATGCAATTTAGGTGGGTATTTGAAGTAGCTGATTAAAATGCATTTTTGTTTGGCAAAAAACTTGTAGTCTTTGATTTTGTTTTATAAAAAATAATAGTATATAGCTTTTAACAAAGTTTTTTATTTTTATTCAGATATCAAGCCCCAAATCCTATCATTTGATGATCCACCCATATCCCCTGTTGCTGGCCCCTCACATAGTGAAAGGTCTATGATGATGTATATGGACCAGTCAGGTGTATCTTCTATACCTGGACCAAGTAATTATCAGGACAATAGTGCCCTTGTTCCGCATGATTCGCAACCTCAAGGTAAAATTTTATGCATCTACAATATCAGGTTTTTTTTTTCTTTTTTTATTACTTTTGTGACATAATGCAAAAACAATACTTGCTGCATTCTAAAGATTAAGTTGAAATCTATTTGGTTTACATTAAATTAGAAATTCAGAATGTATGCGGTTACTTGTTATTGTATCTTGTCTTACTTATAACTAGGTTTAAGAACCAATCCTCTGTCTCACTCAAGGTTCTTCAAAATGTATTTTATAAGTGAAGCCTTGTGTGAATAATAGAGAGTTGGTTAAATTATTTATTTAGTTGGAGCTTTTTTAAATACTTTAAGAAAGCTCTTTTTAAGTAATTTTAGTTTTTATCTTAGGTGTATTCTAATGTATAACTAGATTTAATTTAGTTTTAAGTAGGCTTAGTTTAGGTTAGTAATTTAAATTAGATGTAAGATAATATAAGTTTAGGTTTAGCTAATTTTTATGCATCAAATGGTAATCAGTGCTTTATTGCATTGATTTAGTTTTTATTCTTGTCATGTTATTGGGACCATTTAAACTGTTGCAGTATTGTAAAAAAAATTGTATGTAAACTGTCAGTGGGTCTATGTACTTCACTGACAGAAATTGTAAGTTAATTATCAAAAATGCCTGTTGTGGCATAAGTGAATGTCAACATCTAACTGTGAAGATCTACATGTTGTAACAAGAAGTCCCCAACATCAAGCAAAGGATTCTTCTGTTGAAAGCTGCTGTTCTCCAGAGCCTGATTGCAAGCACCTTTCTTTTCCAAAGAAGTTGGAAGTAAAGAAGAGTATTTTCTTCTTCATTGGTGAGTTATGATTTAATATATTCCTTCTTTTCTAGTCTGGTAAGTAATCTACTGATTTAATGTTGGAAGTAATGCTAAACCTTAAATTATTCTAAATTCTAAAATAGAACTGATATTTAAGCACTTAGCACTCCTAAGTAGCACTATTTTAAAAGCACCTTAATAATACACCAATACATAGTTATTAGTGTTATTTCTAACACTAAGAACAGTAGATCCATTTGTTTGGAGCCAAATAAATCATCCATTAGTTTTCTGAGTCTACTTGCAGGTGAAAATAAGAAAAGGCTGTGAAGTTTTATTTCAGGTATGCATTTTATCCACTCACTATTGTAGTAGATTTGTTTGCATTAAGTTAAGGCAAACAAATTATTTAGTATTCATAATTTGTCAAATTGTTTTTTGTTTATACATGGCACCACAGTACTTAAGTTGTTTAATTGCAGATTGAAATTGAATGTTTTTTTATTTATTAGGTTGGAAAATCATATCTCAATAATCTGTTCTACCCATGTCTTTAATTAGAGCACCTTTTTCTGTTAATATGGATTGATTATTTCCATGCAACAGTTTGAATGGTGGCCAACCCGTTTTATTGTTCAGTTAGGCAGTGTAAGAATTGTACCTAAAACATGTGCTCTTAAGTGTGTGGTGTCATGATTGTTAAGAATTTGTTACAGAAATCAGCACTAAAAGGTTCATTTTGCTTATTCACAGGTCGAAAAACACTGTGGTGGGATCAGCGCATGAAACAACTTCAAAAGTTACAGGCAGAGTCGTTCGGTCAATCAAGATTGAGAGGATCTAGATATTCTACTGGTTTTAGAGGGAGTCCTAAGCAAGCTATTTGTCCTTTTTGTTACAAGATATTCTACGATAAAAGCACGATGAATCGACACGTCTCTAAGCGTGTCTGTTTGGGTTTGCAGTTTCAGGTTTCTTTTTCTGATCAGCTGCCTAATGTTCCTGTTTCATCTGTTATGCCAGTTTGCTCAAGCTCTTTATATCGTAATACCGCTTCTCCTGATATTATCGATATGGAAGCCTCGGAAGTAAACGCAGATGTTTCTTTAAACGAGTCTGATGTCCTTTGTTCTAGTAAAGTGGAAGAGACTTTTAATAAATCAGGAAAAGTTCCTTGCCCCTACTGTAAGAAATACTTCAAAGGTGATAGAGGTGTTAAGAAACACCTTCATTTTTATGGATGTCCTATGGCTGTTGATTCAAAATTTGCAAATGAACATTGAATTAATGTTAAATTATAATTATTTATACTGTAAGTGCAATATTTAAGCACTGACATTTCGTTAAATGTTTTAAAATTTATTTGTAAGATGGAGCTACTCACAGTTTTTATAGTCCCAGTAACAAGACAAATTTTAAATTATAGTGATATTTATTCTGTTAGGTTTACTTAAAATGATCTAGTCTTGAATATTTTTTCTTTAGTTATGTTTAGTATAGAATTTTATGATGAAATGCTTGTTTTTATTGTTCAGGCATATTTACAGAGTTTTGTTGAGTGCTACTTTGGCTTTATTTATTTGGTGGCTATATCTAGTGGTAGGTAGCTCCATCAAATTTTTGTACATAGTTGTAAGAGATGAATAAAAAGATTAAAGCTTTAAATTGATTCTTCTATTATAGTTAAGATCTTCACTTATACATTCAGGAACTTACTTTATTTCTTATATTAGTTTATTGTATGAAGTAGAAATTATTTAATAAGATAGCAGTGAGAGTTTCCTACATTCTCATATTTCAGTAAAAAAAGTATAAAATACAAGAGGATGTAAGTCATTGGAGGGTTAATATATAAGCTAATGAAAAATTTCAGAGGAGCTTGTACTAATGTGTAAGGTTGTATATATGTTGAGACAAGTAAATAATCTTGGATTAAAAAAAGAACGCTTGCCATTAAGGTTATTAAAACCCTTAGTTTAGTTTCTTTTTTAATGAAATTGATAAGAGTATTCAAATATTAAGGAATTTAATTCTGTAAGAGAAAGGCATGAGAATCTACAAAGATATTTTTACTTTTGACAGGTTTCGAGACATTGTGATTAAGTATTGTTCAAATATTTCAAAATCTGAAAGGGTGAAACTTTTTCTCTTATCTTTTGTTAAATATTTCAAGTCAAAATATTCAGCCTTTATTCTAGTGGTTTTATGTATTCGAAGTTATTTTTACCTTTTGGTACTATTAGATTTGTAACATCACCACACTAGTTATTTTCCTGATTTATTGAGAATTTCTAAATTTTCAGAATGTCTTGAGAATTTTTATAATGGTTATTACTTTTTGTAATGATAGATTAGGCCTTTGATTTGTACAAGGGTTAATTTTTTCCGCGTATGTTTAACTTTATTCTAAAGTAAAGACTTTTAAAATTATTTTATCAAACATTGAAAAATGCTAACTTGTAGCTCTGCTTTATTAGGTACTTGTTTTTGCAAATACTTGAATTTGTCAGGTAAGCAGACAGGATGAGTAGTCTGTAAGCATAAGAAGTTAGTTTTTTTTAAATAGCTATTTAAAATGTATTTCTCTGAACATCAAGTAATAGCAATTTTAATGAAAGTTAACAACTATGGTCTTAAGTGCGAATGCGTTGAAAAAATAGAGGTAAACACTGAGGAGTTCTCTTTTTAATGTCTGAATGCTGTTGACCAATGATAGAGTTGACTTATTGTATTTGCATTATTTATTTCAACTTGTGCTACAAATTCAAAAGTTTTTGAATTTTATTTACAATGTTTTATTTCATGTTGGAATTTCACGATGGTAGACAGGACTGTGTTTCTGTGTTAAATTGCATGTCAAGTTCAGTTTTATTTTTGGCTCATTTTAATAGCATAATTTTTGGTTCTGACTGTCACTTGAAAGTTCATCTTCCTTTTGAGGTTTTTAACTTAAGTTCACTGGAAAATGCAACAAAATAATTTAAAACTTCTATTTTTAATTTCAAATGTTGCTGCCTTTCAATTTTGTGCATGATATTCAGCTATTTATAAATAAGTAGCCTTGTCTGCAATTTGCAGACCTCAATTTTTCAGAATCTTATTTCTTTTACAAAAGTCAGTATTAAAAAAAAGTAATGGTAAAAGTAGTTTTCAACATGGTATTGCTCACCTGGATAGAAAAAAAATAGTGCGTGGTGTCCCTCCGCTTGGAAGAAGTGAAACTTCGTAATGTGGAAATGGAAATAGGAAGGGGTAGAAATTGATTTTTAGTGAAATCATATTGTTTCTTTAAGGCAAACTTAATTAACATAGCTTACAATTCACAATTGATCGCATCTTTAAATTATCATTTTAGAGTGGAGAAATATCCAAATCTATAACATTTACAATTGGATTGTTATAACTAAAGTTTTACAATATTTCTTGCAAAAACTGCATCAATGGTAGTTCGCCCTTTGGTTGATGGATCATTCCTACCATTTGTCATTTCTAATCCAAATTTTTCTTTAAGGAAGGTTAATAATGTTTTAGCTTCCGGTAACGAGAAATTCAGATTAAAATCTGCAAGCATCACAGGCCTCTCGTTGCCATGGTAGCGTTTAACGCAACCTTGTTGGAAGTCTCATTAGAAGTTTCACTTCAAAAATTTTTTAAAACTGAAATAGACTAAATTAGTCCCAAACAGTGTCTGTAAAGCAAGCATTTAGTTTTTCAATCTAAATTCCCATTGTTTAAAGAAGGTTTTTAAGTGTTTCTTTTTTTTCTACAAAATCTTAAAATGCTAAGTAAAGCTATTTAAACTATGACTTATCATTTTGTTGTATAGAATTATTTCGGCTGAAGAACTGATAAATGACTAATCCAGTTTTTTCTGTGTGGGAAATTCACTTTTTGTAAATATGTGCATAAGCTTGGATGTGGTAGTATTAAAATGAAATCTAGCATTTTATTTTTAATTTTTTTTTCAATATTAATATTTGGTGAAAGCACAGTGTGATCGGGCTAACAGTTGTGAATAGTTATTACAAATTGCTGTTTAAAAAGTTTTCATTTTTTGTTTTTGTTTGTAAAAATAATTTCCCTAGTTGACAGAGTTACAGTGATAAAATAACTAACTCTGCCCCAATGAACCCTGCTGTTAATCATTTGCTTAGAACATATATTTTCTTGAATCTACATCCCCCTCTCCTTTCAGGTAGGCAGTTATCTTGTTAAACCTGCCCCTAGAGCAACTGATAAGTGTAACTAAACTATAAATTTCCTCTGAACCATATTACACATTTGAAAACTATTAGTACACAGTGTGAAAGTAGTCAAATAAAATTTACTCTTTTAAGTGTTAATGTCAGTTTTTTAAAATTTTAACATATGTGGGAAGAGATATAATGATTGAAATCATAATAGGATGTAAAAGTTATAAAATCTAACTCGTTTATGAAAAAAGAAAAAAAAAATGAAATTTGAAAATAGGTTTTCACAGTTGAGAAGTGTATCTTGGTCAAACTTTTTGGTTAGACACCTTTATAAAGAGTGGTATAAAAAATCATTGGAAGGGGTGAATAAAAACAATGAAAATAGAAATATTATGAATATTTAAATCTGCATTTTAAATTCTTTTTTTGTATAAATTCAAGCTTAAGAGACCTCTGCTCTCTCCATCTTTGAATTTAGGTAAAATTAATGATTTTTTTTTTGTAAACTAATTTTTTGATAATGCAATATTGACGGCACAATACCTTTTAGAAAAGGAACATTAACAGCTCGCGTTATTAAATTAGGGGAAATTCATAACTTAAAGAACTTCTATTGATTTTCTCTTATTCTTATAACTTTAGAAGCTACTAAGTTATATGAATAAATGTGGTTTTTTAGCAAGTAATTTAAAACTACACGTTATACTTTTTTAAAATTTAATTTTATTCAATTTTAACTGATGAAAACTGAAATAAATATACATACTTGTTTGAAACATGCATACTTGTGAAATAAACATACTTGTTTGAATAACATTAATTGTATTAAAACGAAGGTATTTCGAAAATCTGAAGCCAGATAATTTTATACTAGTAGTTAACTACTCAAAAACTTCTGTTTGCTGAAACTTATTGGTAATATTTTCTTTTTTATGTCTGGTAAAACAAGTAGAGAATATGAAATGTCGCTCACTTATTATCTCCCATTATGCTTAGGTGATGGCCTTTGAATGTTTCATGTCATTTTTCAGCATCAATTTATTTCTAAAAATTAAATAGAGTTGAAAAGCATATTAAGAATTTTCTTCCTCCATCCCTTCGGCAGTTGAGAGAAGAGAGACCTCTTAAGTGATTGCAATATTATTAAATTTGAATTTAAATTGTGTTCACCACCATAAATAGTAACTTTCTTGAGCCAAATAATTGTTTAAAAGTTTAGTTTCATATCAAAAATAATAGTATAAAGTTTTAGTAATTTGGTGGAGATTTGAGTATCATGCTTACTTTCCAAAGCATTACGTATATGTGTATATATATATAGTTTTCTGTCATATGCTAGGTAAGGTGCCTAGGTTTGTTCGAAATTACAGTGCTTCCTCTTCGTAATTAATTTTTTTTGCTGATACTATGAATCCTTGAATCACCAATTTTTTATGTTCATAATTCAATCGTTTTGATGAATTTTTTTTGCGCATATTTTTGTCTTCTGAAGAAAATAAGAGGGGAATTAAAATTTTTCATAACGGTCTTACTTAACCATTAAATGTTTCCTTTTGGCTGGAAGCCTTCGGTTATTGTCCTCATTCTACACACCACTCTTAGTTCAAAATACTTGCCATTGGCATGTTAATAGCTTTAGATTAAATAGAACTATAGTTTGAGGAACAGGTCAATAAGCCAGTTATATATATTTTCTTGAGAGAGCATTTCACGTATCTTTGAATTGTTCAAAAATAAGTCCCTATTAAAAATTACAATTAGAGCTTTAAACTAGCTAACGCCACTTATGCTATATTGACACTTATGTTAAACAATAATAGAAAAAAAAAATCCTTTGAAGTTTAATTTATGACTGCTTATCACCGAACCTGTAAAAAAAAAAATAATTTTTCAAATACTCCACCTGAACAAATAAATTGAAACTGGGAATTAAAACTGCCCCTTGCACCTTCTTTCCAAACTTCAGGATATAAGCACAAATAGTTCTGGAGTTTTGTGACTGGTACACAATCAATCACACAAATTTTTCGATTTATTGTTATTTATAAGTTTCTCTTACTTAAAATAATCAATTTTTGCTAATATTTGTCTTTATGTTCCAAAATTAAAGATCCAATAAATGAAAATACTTCAGTCCGTTTCTCGTAAAAAGCATAGCTCTTACAGAAATATGGTTTATCATGTCAATTTTCACTTATAATGTGATAATGGCAGAAAATCTAAAACCTCATTATGGTTTTGCAGGGTAGACATTTTCAATTTAATGAACAATTTTTTTAAAGGTTTCTAACAACTGTAATTTGCCTTTAGTAAAGTAGCTCTGTTTTCTAACAGTTCGTACCTTCCAGTTTTTAAATTTTCGCTAATTACAATCTATGATCAAATGTAATTAAAATTTTAATCAAAAATAAAAATTTTAGTTTAAATTTTGATTAATGTAAATATTTATGCACGTAAATTTCTCGAGGAGTG